GCGGGACCCTCTTTATGCGTGTGAAGTGGGTCCCTGGCCATCCAAACTGAGGCCCAGTCGGATCGCCCGCCTTCGGCGGGCGATCCTCCTTATGCGTGTGAAGTGGGTCCCTGGCCATCCAAACTGAGGCCCAGTCGGATCGCCCGCCTTCGGCGGGCGATCCTCCTTATGCGTGTGAAGTGGGTCCCTGGCCATCCAAACTGAGGCCCAGTCGGATCGCCCGCCTTCGGCGGGCGATCCTCCTTATGCGTGTGAAGTGGGTCCCTGGCCATCCAAACTGAGGCCCAGTCGGATCGCCCGCCTTCGGCGGGCGATCCTCCTTATGCGTGTGAAGTGGGTCCCCGGCCATCCAAACTGAGGGCCAGTCGGATCGCCCGCCTTCGGCGGCGATCCTCCTTATGCGTGTGAAGTGGGTCCCCGGCCATCCAAACTGAGGGCCCAGTCGGATCGCCCGCCTTCGGCGGCGATCCTCCTTATGCGTGTGAAGTGGGTCCCTGGCCATCCAAACTGAGGCCCAGTCGGATCGCCCGCCTTCGGGCGGCGATCCTCCTTATGCGTGTGAAGTGGGTCCCCGGCCATCCAAACTGAGGGCCCAGTCGGATCGCCCGCCTTCGGCGGGCGATCCTCCTTATGCGTGTGAAGTGGGTCCCCGGCCATCCAAACTGAGGCCCAGTCGGATCGCCCGCCTTCGGCGGGCGATCCTCCTTATGCGTGTGAAGTGGGTCCCTGGCCATCCAAACTGAGGCCAGTCGGATCGCCCGCCTTCGGCGGGCGATCCTCCTTATGCGTGTGAAGTGGGTCCCTGGCCATCCAAACTGAGGCCCAGTCGGATCGCCCGCCTTCGGCGGGCGATCCTCCTTATGCGTGTGAAGTGGGTCGTCCGCTTGCCTGTGAGTTGGCGTCGCCACGATTGGCCATCCAAACTGAGGCCCAGTCGGATCGCCCGCCTTCGGCGGGCGATCCTCCTTATGCGTGTGAAGTGGGTCCCCGGCCATCCAAACTGAGGCCCAGTCGGATCGCCCGCCTTCGCGGGCGATCCTCCTTATGCGTGTGAAGTGGGTGTCCCTGCTGCTGAGTGACCAGGTCCCTGGCCATCCAAACTGAGGCCCAGTCGGATCGCCCGCCTTCGGCGGGCGATCCTCCTTATGCGTGTGAAGTGGGTCCCTGGCCATCCAAACTGAGGCCCAGTCGGATCGCCCGCCTTCGGCGGGCGATCCTCCTTATGCGTGTGAAGTGGGTCCCGGCCATCCAAACTGAGGGCCAGTCGGATCGCCCGCCTTCGGCGGGCGATCCTCCTTATGCGTGTGAAGTGGGTCCCCGGCCATCCAAACTGAGGGCCAGTCGGATCGCCCGCCTTCGGCGGGCGATCCTCCTTATGCGTGTGAAGTGGGTCCCTGGCCATCCAAACTGAGGCCCAGTCGGATCGCCCGCCTTCGGCGGGCGATCCTCCTTATGCGTGTGAAGTGGGTCCCCGGCCATCCAAACTGAGGCCCAGTCGGATCGCCCGCCTTCGGCGGCGATCCTCCTTATGCGTGTGAAGTGGGTCCCTGGCATCCAACTGAAGGCCCAGATCGGATCGCCCGCCTTCGCGGCGGAGCGATCTCCTTATGCGTGTGAAGTGGCGTCATATCCCCGGGCCATCCAAACTGAGGCCCAGTCGGATCGCCCGCCTTCGGCGGGCGATCCTCCTTATGCGTGTGAAGTGGGTCCCCTGGCCATCCAAACTGAGGCCCAGTCGGATCGCCCGCCTTCGGCGGGCGATCCTCCTTATGCGTGTGAAGTGGGTCCCTGGCCATCCAAACTGAGGCCCAGTCGGATCGCCCGCCCTTCGCGGCGATTCTCTCCTTATGCGTGTGAGTGCTAGGTCCCTGGCCATCCAAACTGAGGGCCAGTCGGATCGCCCGCCTTCGGCGGGCGATCCTCCTTATGCGTGTGAAGTGGGTCCCTGGCCATCCAAACTGAGGCCCAGTCGGATCGCCCGCCTTCGGCGGGCGATCCTCCTTATGCGTGCCCAGGACGGACTGATAGGAGACATCGCGTGTGGAGCCCAACGCGCGACGACGCCGTGCGGGCGACGATGGCGTGCGCGGGCGGGGACCGCGCCCAGACCGCCGAGCACCCTCACCAGGGTGCTGAGTGGCGTCCCCTGGCATCACAAACTGAGGCCCTAGTCGAGATCGCCGCTTCGGCGGGCGCATCCTCCTTATGCGTGTCGGAAGGTGCCGTCCCCTGGCCATCCAAACTGAGGCCCAGTCGGATCGCCCGCCTTCGGCGGGCGATCCTCCTTATGCGTGTGAAGTGGGTCCCTGGCCATCCAAACTGAGGGCCCAGTCGGAACGTCGCCCCGCCCTTCCGGCCGGGCGATTCCTCCTTCATGCGTGTGACGCTGCGGTCCTCTGGCCTGTGACAGTGTGTCCCTGGCCATCGCAAACTGCTAGAGGCCCAGTCGGATCGCCCGCTTCGGCGGGCGATCCTCCTTATGCGTGTGAAGTGGGTCCCCGGCCATCCAAACTGAGGCCCAGTCGGATCGCCCGCCTTCGGCGGGCGATCCTCCTTATGCGATCGGTGAAAGTGGGTCCCCTGCCTGTGAAGGTCGGGGTCCTAAGGCCGTACAGCAGCAAACTGAGGCCCAGTCGGATCGCCCGCCTTCGGCGGGCGATCCTCCTTATGCGTGTGAAGTGGGTCCCCGGCCATCCAAACTGAGGCCCAGTCGGATCGCCCGCCTTCGGCGGGCGATCCTCCTTATGCGTGTGAAGTGGGTCCCCGGCCATCCAAACTGAGGGCCCAGTCGGATCGCCCTCGGCGGGCGATCCTCCTTATGCGTGTGAAGTGGGTCCCCGGCCATCCAAACTGAGGCCCAGTCGGATCGCCCGCCTTCGGCGGGCGATCCTCCTTATGCGTGTGAAGTGGGTCCCCGGCCATCCAAACTGAGGGCCCAGTCGGATCGCCCGCCTTCGGCGGGCGATCCTCCTCCATTATTGCAGTGCGTGTGAAGTGTCGGCGTTCCCTGGCCCATCCAAACTGGAGGCCCCGGAGATCGGGATCGCCGCCCTTCGGCGGGACGATCCTTCTTATGCGGTGCTGACATGGAGTCCCTGGGCACCAAACTGATGGCCCAGGCGGATGCCCGCCTTGCGGCGGGCGATCCTCCATTATGCGTGCTGAATCGTGGTCCCCCTGCCTGTTGAAGTGGGTCCCTGGCCATCCAAACTGAGGCCCAGTCGGATCGCCCGCCTTCGGCGGGCGATCCTCCTTATGCGTGTGAAGTGGGTCCCTGGCCATCCAAACTGAGGCCCAGTCGGATCGCCCGCCTTCGGCGGGCGGATCCTTCCTTGATGCGTGCGTGAAGTGCGCGTCGCCCTGGCCCATCCCACTGAGCCAGCTCGGATTCGCCGCTTCGTGCGCGGCCGGATCCGTCCTTATGCGTGTGAAGTGGGTCCCTGCCATCCACAGACGAGGCCAGTCGGATCGGCCGCCTCTCGGCGGGCGTCTCTTTATGCCTGTGCAAGTGCGTCCCTGCCATTCCCAACTTGACGGCCCAGTCCGGATCGCCTCGCCTTCGGCGGCCCGCCGTCCTCCTTCATGCTGCTGAAGTGCCGTCCCTGGCCCATTCCAACTTGAGCGCCCAGTCGGACGCCCGCCTCGCGGGGGGTCTCTTGCGTGAGGGTCCCCGGCCATCCAAACTGAGAGGCCCAGTCGGATCGCCCGCCTTCGCGGGCGATCCTCCTTATGCGTGTGAAGTGGGTCCCCGGCCATCCAAACTGAGGGCCAGTCGGATCGCCCGCCTTCGGCGGGCGATCCTCCTTATGCGTGTGAAGTGGGTCCCCGGCCATCCAAACTGAGGGCCAGTCGGATCGCCCGCCTTCGGCGGGCGATCCTCCTTATGCGTGTGAAGTGGGTCCCCGGCCATCCAAACTGAGGCCCAGTCGGATCGCCCGCCTTCGGCGGGCGATCCTCCTTATGCGTGTGAAGTGGGTCCCTGGCCATCCAAACTGAGGGCCAGTCGGATCGCCCGCCTTCGGCGGGCGATCCTCCTTATGCGTGCGCCTTCGGCGGGCGCTCCTCCTTATGCGCGCG